TTTATTAATAAAATATTTTTTTATTCTAAATTTTTTAACTTGTCTTTTCGGGACTCAAAATGTCTCACTTTGTCCCGGTTCACTTCAGAATCACTCTTTTGATTTTGATAATTCATTCTCGATAAAATATTATTATTTAATTATCATTTTCTCGTGTGCGAAATATTTTATTCCAACATATTCCTTTTGCCTATCACTGCTCTTTCGCACGTAGATTTACATCCATCAACCCTCTGTCTCATTGATGAGATCATATTGGCTCTTATACGAGTATACGGGGTGTTACAGGTACAACCTACTATGGTTTCTTTGTAGTTACCAAGCAAAACAATTAGGTACCTTACTAGAATTATAAAGGATGTTTCAGTTAAAGTTAGGAAGTTGTGCATTTTGATGGACTTTATTGTGCTTTAGATGGAAGAGGATGATTAAATTCCTCTTATTTTTGGATAATTAGTCTTGGCTACAATTAGAGCAATCATAGATGTGAAGAATGGCAAATAACTTTCAAAGTTAGAGAAGAGATAGTTGAGTTTAATATATTAAAGACAACTAATTATCCTTCTTCTACAGAAAGTTTCCAGAGAGTGGATATAGTTGACGAGTTGGCTAAGGAGGTTTTTTACATGAAATATCCAAAGAAACCCTTTTACGTTTTTATGGGGAAAACTGACCAGATGCCACCACCATAAATTACATCCATCAACCCTCTGTCTCGTTGATGAGATCATATTGGCTCTTATACGAGTGTACGGGGTGTTACAGGTACAACCTCCTATGGTTTCTTTGTAGTTACCAAACAAAACAATTAGGTACCTTGCTAGGATTATAAAGGATGTTTCAGTTAAAGTTAGGAAGTTGTGCATTTCGATGGACTTTATTGTGCTTTAGATGGAAGAGGATGATAAAATTCCTCTTATTTTCGGATAATTAGTCTTAGCTACAATTAGAGCAATCATAGATGTGAAGAATGGCAAGATAACTTTCAAAGTTAAAGAAGAGATAGTTGAGTTTAATATATTAAAGACAACTAATTATCCTTCTTCTATAGAAAGTTTCCATAGAGTGGATGTAGTTGACGAGTTGGCTAAGGAGGTTTTTTATATGAAATATCCAAAGAAACGCCTTTATGTTTTATGGGAAAAAGTGACCAGATGCCACCACCATAAATTAATCTTGATTTTAAAGTTGGTCATCAAGTGTTACGAACCAAATCAATCAAGCTCTTTCTATGAAAACAAAAATTAAAGCGGTCAAGTCCTTACAAAGTTTTTAAAGTCTATCTTTGTGGTGTAATAGACATTTGTAATGAAGCTACCGAAACATTTGGAGTGAATGGGTAGTGTCTCCA